ATAAAGAAGTGTGTTACCATTGGAAACCATTATTATTTTTTAGTTAGAGTTATCCCAAGTTCCTGGAGCGCGTACAAAAGTCGCCAACTACCCGGGCTGTCCTTCTGACATCTAGGTCTTTTTGGTTTTATGTACAATGTCAGTGAAAGTCTAATTCATGAGGTGGTGCCATGCAGTTTTATTTCTTGGGAGATTTTCTAGGGATGCTGGACTAAGGTTAGTGATCTTCCACTGGAAGCCAGAACCTGCACAAAGGCAAGAAACTGAAGAAGTCACTTGTAGGCATTATTGCTGCTTGCACTTATGTTTAAACTGTTTATGCTGTGTGTGCTTATGTTTATTTACTTAATCCTTACTGTCTATGTACTTTAGACTTACTTTATATGCGCGAATGCTGTATATGTACTTTATATTTACTATATGTTATTTCTCACTGTATGTACTCAATGCTTATTGTATACTTTATAAGTTCATTAAGTATAGATACTTTATACATTTTCTCTATATCCTTATTACAGTAGTGCCTTTCTCTAAAAGACATCTAGTTATAGAGCTAAAGTGTCTTTAAAGACAAAAGGCCGAGAAGCGAGAAGTGTTCTTTAGAAAGAGGTATCCTCTTACCTTAAAGCAAGAGCAATTGGTAAAAATGGTAATTTTGGTGATTAAAACTCCCCTTTTTATAGAAATATCCGCTAGCAGGAGTTAACTAAATTGTAAGATATTATCTCATTAATCTATTATCAAATATAAGGCCTGTATAATAAAATAACTGACAAATTTAACTGAGTGTTGTGAATATCACGTGCAAGTTGTAAATAACTGCTGTTCGAAAACCTGATTCTTAAAAAGTTTTGAAATAATAATTTGCTTTGTGGAGAGTTAGCAATAATTCAGAATAATAAATCAAAATAACGTCGTCAAAATGTGATTTACAAATGGCTTGAAATTTCACCACGTCCAACCTGATTGATCGTAAAATACTTAGACATTTGATCATCGACGATGAAACCTACTGCAAATTGACTTCTCAACGCTTCCAGGACCCCAGTACTACATTTTAGATCAGAAACTACGATTGAAGTTGGAAAATCTGACGATAAATATCTCGTGTGGCAAGCAATTTGTGAGTGTGGTGATAAGAGTCAGATTTACGTTACCAAAGGGACAGTCAACAAGGGAATTTATTATATAAAAGAATGTCTAAAGAAGATACTTTGCCGTTTATTAGAAAGCATGATGTCCCCGACCTTGCATCAGCCCATTACGCCCGTGATACATTGAATTATGATGATGATGTTTCAAAGGAGTTGAATCCACCGAACGTGCCACAGTGTCATCCAATCGAGCATTTTTTGCAAGAAGTCAAAGGAATACTACGTGAAACAAGTCAAACTGCAACAAGTATCTCAGATTTCCGCAATAGGTTCAACGCCAGGAAGGTTATAAAGAACTCCGTAAAAGCTTTAAAACCAGAATTTCTACCGGGAGTACACAAAGTATCGAATCCCAAAAAAATCATGCACCATAATTTAAGACTTGAGATGGAAATTTTTCTGAGGAAATTGATCTGTAAAAAGAAAGGTCGCCTTTTCTGGCAAATGGCCACCTATATTTTGGTCATAGATATGCTCTATCCACTCTACCAGCTAAACACCTCTTTGACGGATTATTAAGATTTCATTTGATCCGTTGTGGATCTCATGAAATAAAATTCCACCCTAGACTGACGAGCGCCATTATCCCGAAACCATGGTTTATAGGTAGATGCTTCTGTTTTCCAAAACTGGTGTCATGGCTTTTGTCACGACCTGAGTCCTCTAGTTTGCGGAGACGGTCAAAATAGTGCACTTAGTTTTAGGTCTATTTTTATGGAAGAGGCGACATTTATTTTTATTAATAACTAGCGGACGTACCCGGCTTCGCCCGGGTTTTACCCGAGTAAAAGTTTGTCTAACGAATCTCTCGATAAAGTGAACATTTTTTTCCCGGTCCCTTGAAAAATACTCGATAAGTTGAATAAAATCAATATTAATTGGTTCCCTCGGTAATTGGAAGTTAAAGGAATAGTATCTTGCCTTGGAATTGTATCATTATT